TTTTTTTTTTTGGTACTGGAGATCGAACTCGGGTCCTTGTGCTTGCAAGGCAGGCACCGAACTGCTGAGCTAAATCCCTGGCCTTAAAAGGCTTTTTTTAAATGTTTCTGGTAAATTGGCAAATGTTAAAACATTATGTACTGAATTTATGCCTAATAATGCTTTTGGCTTATCTATTTTATCTGATGCTACTATTCCTACTGTCACTTATGTAATATAATTTTGGCTTTAAATTTGTGTATAAATTTAAATTTGTGTGTGTGTGTGTGTGTGTGTGTATATATATATATATAAGGGCAAACAACGTCTCTTATAGATGCTGAAATAACGTACTAGTTTATTAACTTCTATGTTGCCGAGTAATTTTTTTTCTGGCCTACCTTTTCACCGAGAGTATAGCCCTTTGAGGTTCTTGTCTTAATGTAAATGGATGAAAAAGGTACATTTCAGTTCTGTGACCTCTGTTGTTTTAAGAAGCTTGTCTTAGGTTTCCATGGAGACTATAACACATTTTAACTAGTAATTCTTTGGCTTATAGAAATAACTTAACAGCCAGCCTTCCTCAGTGTCAGTTTATACTGATGGGTCCATGAATTTCTTTTACTATGCTGGCAGTTCACCCTTGTGTTGAAGTGGATATCTATCATGTATAGTCCTTTATTTTGGGAGTATTTTGTGATGGGAGAATTTCCAGGAAATCCTGTCAATACAGAGCTGGAAATGCAAATCCCCACATTATGTTTTTAAAAAAATTATCGTCATTATTATTATTATTATTATTTTGGAAACAATGCTTGGTGGAGAAAAAAATGTTCATTATAAATTTTTAACATTTTCCTTCTTAGCATGCAGCAGAATTGATTAAGACAGTGGCATCGCGCTATGATGAATATGTCAATGTGAAGGATTTTTCTGACAAAATCAGCCGTGCCCTTGCTGCAGCAAAGAAGGATAATGACTTCATTTATCATGATCGAGTTCCAGACCTTAAAGATCTAGATCCTATTGGCAAAGCCACACTTGTGAAGTCTACCCCAGTCAGTGTGCCCATCAGCCAGAAGTTCAGTGGTATGTTTATTTTTTACATGCACTTTATTGATTATTAGTACTCATTTTTCTCCAGTTTAATCTGTATTTTTTTAGATCAAATAATATAGTTGTTCTCGTATACTTTACACTCTGCTTTCATGTTGTTTAAAATGAATATGACAGTAAAAATTACCTTTAAAATGGAAAATTGGTGAAATATAAAGTATAAACAGTCAGAAAACTTGAAATTGTACTGATGAGACTTTAGACAGCCAGTTATTTTGTTAACATTATATTTAAGATGTCATTAAACAAATGTATTTGTAAACATGTAGACTTCTAGAGTCATTTCTATTAGATAAATTTTAGTATATCCTTGGATATTATAGATATATGTCATATATTCAGTATTTAGTAGCTTCTGAGATTCCCAAGGATAATCTAATTTTCAGGAAAGAATGATTATTTTATTTTACTTAGGTTGTTTGGCAAACACAAAATATTTACTATGTTCTAGGGACTCTGAACCACTTTGTGTATAATTGTTTTGTAAAGTGCTCATAACAGTCCTGTGTATTATCCCCATTTTACTGATAAGAATACTGCATACAGAGTGGTTATTTGACCAGGGTCACATAACTAGCAAGTAATGGAGTTGGAAATTGAATTCTGGCAATGTGGTACAGGCAGTCAAGTTAATCAACAAATGAGCAGTGTTACCAAAGATCTTTCTCACTCAATAATAAACACATTTTAAAAATCATGGAATATAAAGTTCAAAAAGGAAAGCTTTTTGTTATTACCCATGTCCATGAATATAATGATCTGAAAGTGCTCATCATTATTTATTGCACTTTCAATAGTTACTTGGTTTTGATCTTTAAATATTTGGACTGTGCCTATTAAAATCCAATATAAAGTCATTTCTATAGCCTGATTTTTTTTTTAATCTTAAAAATTTTGTTTAAATTTCCCTTCCTAAATTTAGATCTGTTTGAGAAGATGGTTCCTGTGTCAGTGCAACAGTCTTTGGCAGCCTTTAATCAGAGAAAAGCTGATTTGGTTAACAGATCAATTGCCCAGATGAGAGAAGCTACCACTTTGGCAAATGGGTAGGTAACCTTTCATAAATTTGTTTCTAGAGTTCTAAAGTTTTTGCTTTGGTTATTATTTGACTAAATAGTTTGTGAACATTTTCGTTATCTGAGCTTAAAATTTAATGTCAAGGAAATACATAATATAACAGCAGATACACATACTCTTGTATTTCTAGGGACACTGTATTAAGCTGTAGCAAGTATATTATAGTTTGAAGAAATTTATTAACAGAAACAACGTGAGAATGTTTGCTAGATTGTATTTTAAGAGATACTTGAGTGAAAGTAGAAATGAACTTTCTAAGTTAAAGTACAGTACATGGCATATTAAGTATTGTAAACCAAATTTTTGTTTCTGATGGTTTAAAGACTTAACAGTGTAATTCCCTGGTCTTAAAAAATTTAAGGATAATTTTCACACAATAAATACACCCATTTTAAGTGTGGAGGTCATAAATTTTGATAAATTTATGTCCTTAAATAACTACCACTGCCTCCAAGAAAAGATTGAAGATATTTCTGTTACCTAATCATGCGTTTCTCCCTTCAGTTCCTTTTCCCCTGGTCCCTGGCCATTACTTATCTGTTCCCTGTCACTATAGGTTAGTTTTATTCTTTATACACTTTAATACAAATGCAATCATTATAGCATGGACAATATGTATATTACAGTATTGCTATAGTGTATAGAATGTGAGTATAGTATATACTCAAAGTGTCTTTTTTCACTTAGCATAGTATTTTTGAGTTTCATTTCTTCTCTTGAGTATTGGTTTAGCCTGTTTTATAATGAGTGGTATTCTATTTTATGGTCATACAGCAGTCTGTAATTCTATTCTGTGTTGTTACATTTCAGTTGCTGTGAACATTTGAATACAAATTTTTTGTATGGGTGTGTTTTAGTTTTCTTACATAAACACCTGGTAATGTTATTTTTGAGTTGTATATATTTAATTGTATGCAAGACTGGCAGATTATTTTCCAAAATGGGTGTTCCATTTTGTATTCCTAGCTACATTGTTTGAGAAATATGGTTGCTCTGTATCCTCGCCAGCACTCTCTAATTTTAGCCTATCTAGTGTGTGGAGCGGTATCTCATTGTATTTTATTTTGCATTCCCATAATTATCAATGATGTTAACCAACGTTTTATATGCTTATTAGCCATTGATACATCTTTTGTTAAGTGTGGGTTGAAATCTGTGTGTGTGAGGGTGTGGTGTATTAAATCCAGGACTACTTTATATTATGCTAGGCAAAGGCTCTACCATTGAGCTATAGTCCTAGCCATTTTACTTCATTTTTCTCCCCTTCCTTTTCTTTATTATAGCTCAAGGGTGTCCTTGAACTTGTGTAGTTTGGGCTGGCCAGTGTGGTCCTCCTGAGTCAGACTCCTGAGTATAAACCATTAAAAAAATATTTTTTCTTAAAACGTGCTTTTTTTTTTTTTGGCACTGGATACTTACCACAGAGTTCTTTTCTCAGTTCTTTTCATTTTTTATTTTGGTTCATGGTTTCATTGCCCAGATGGGACTTGAACTTGTGATCTTTCTGCATCTGCCCTCTGTAATTGCTGGTATTACAGGCATGTTTCACTGCCTGGCTTGCCTCCTCTTTACTGAGTTTACTGTTTCATGTGGTAAAGAGGTAGTATGAGTTTATACAAACTTACTAAGAAGTTCATCATCTTACACTATTTTATTTGCTTTTCTGTCTTTAGAAATAACAGGGTAAGTTCTTCCACTTATCATGTAGATGAAATAATTGAAGAATCATTATTGTATTACAAAACCGAGAACAGATGAAGACTCTAATTAATGCTTACATCACCTGTGTTCTATTGGCATTTTGTCTAGATAATATAAGATTATAACTTTTGTGTATTTCTGATTTGTTAGTGACAGTATAACCATAAGTGATAAAAGATGGCTTTTTTTTCTTGGTACCAGGGATCAAACTCGGGTCCTTGCGCTTGCAAGGCAGGCCACTGAACTGCTGAGCTAAATCCCCGGCCCAAAAGATGGCTTTTTTATTTTATTTATTTTTATTTTTTAGTTATTTTTTGTTACCAGGGATCGAACTTGGGTCCTTGTGCTTGTGAGGCAGGTGGCAGAACCACTGAGCTAAATCCCCGGCCCTAAGACTGCTTTTTTAAAGTAGAATTTTTGCCTTAATTACTTAGACTGAAAAAGTTAAATTTTAGCTATTAGTCAAAGCTATTTAATGTATTTTAATACTGTTATAGCTTTTCGTACTCTTTGTGTTTTAATTCTGAACTATAAACTTTATTCTTCAGTGATTTCATTTTATCAATTATTTTGTTTTTCCTTTTTATTTTTCTATTAATAGGTTTATCTACATTTTTGTGGTGCTAAATCTGTCACTTTTGAGTCAGACGTAAGTGGTTAATATTTTAAAGGATGTTTAGACTTTTACATAACATGATATCTGATTTTTTCCCAGGGTATTAGCTTCCCTTAATCTTCCAGCAGCAATTGAAGATGTGTCTGGAGATACTGTACCTCAGTCTATATTGACCAAGTCCACATCTGTGATTGAACAAGGAGGTATCCAGACTGTTGATCAGTTGATCAAAGAACTACCTGAACTATTACAAAGAAACAGAGAAATCCTAGATGAGGTATGTTTTGTTTTGTTTTGTTTTTTGGTACCAGGGAATGAACTCATGACCTTGCACTTGCAAGGCAGGGGCCAGAACCACTGAGCTATCCCCTTCCCAGATGAGGTATGTTTTAAAAGATTTTTGTTTTTCAGGTAAAAATGTCCAGAAGGGATTAGGACTGGAGGGCTTCACAGGATGGTATTTATCATCTTGGTGAATTTACTGTGCCTTATTCTTCAGCCTTGAAGAATTCTGTTACGTGAGAATGAGTTCATTCTTAAGGCAAATGAGTGAATATTGATGGGAACTCATATGACCATTGTATTATACTAATATGAGAAATTACTATCATACAAACTGTTGAAAGGCTTCGTAATGATTCTTTTGTATGGGCAGGTTAGGTTTCTTGGTGAACATGAACTCAGACATGAAATATTTTTACAAGACTGTTGCATTTATTTACCAGTAGAGGTAACTTTTGTTAGTAGGAATGAAACACTCTTTAAAGTTTCTTTGGTTGAAGCCAGCTATTTACCATGTAATTCTGTTTTTATGGTGCCTTCACCTCTTCTTCCTAATTGGAGCATTTCATTTTTTAGCTGTAGATACATTCAGACTGCTTATATGAGCTCTTGCCTTTTTACAACTAATGTATTTTCTTTTGGGTGACTTGTTATCAATGCTTAGTAATATACTTTATGTTCATACAAATACCTTACAGTTTTTTTAAAACCTGTTTGTTTGTAAATCAAAGATTTTGATCTGGTGGTATAATTGGAAGGACTTTAGAAAGAGTAGATAGACATGAGGAGAAGAAAATGAAGAGTTTGGTTTAAAATCATTGAGTATTAGCAGCAAAAGGTAATTGTAGTGTTAGAGAAGACACACTGAAAAATGCAAATACAGTCAATGTAAAGCAGTCTGGAAGCGTTTGGTAAATAGAAGTTATAATAAATCTTCATTTAATACATTACAGGTAATTCAGCAGTAAGGTTTCAGAATGTGGACTTATATTTGGGTTTAATTTCCAGCCCTTATATCTAGCTGTGACCCTGTGCAAAGTATTTAACATCTTTGTGTCTCAGTAGACTTAACCAGAAAATAAGGGTAATGGTATTTAGCCTTTAAGATAGTTGTGAAGAGGGATACTATATGGGCCTGCTACTTACAGATTTATAAATATTTAGTATTACTGCATTTCCTAGGTCTTACAAGATGCTGTTGAATGGAAAATGGATATTTCCTTTTTTGGATTATAACATTCACTAAAGAAATACTAAATATCAAGTATGAGAACGTCTTTATAAATATAAATGTGAAAAATCTTCATCTTATACTGACATTAATATATATGTCTGTAATCTTTTGTGTTTTCTGAGACAGGGTCTCATTATTTAGCAGTCTATCCTGGAACTCCCTATGCAGCCCAGGCTAGCCTCAAACTCTTGTTCCTCCTGCCTCTGCCTCCTGAGTGTTTCTTGTTTATCTTAATATGAAATACTTTTATTTATCTTATTTGATAGCCTTGTGAGTTACGGTTATTATTATTCTGTCATTTGTATTGGGGGCTCATTTTAATTAAGTTGTAAGTTGTGAAGTATATTATAAAGCTGGTACTCATTTTGAAATGCTCTCCCCCCTCCTTTTTTTTTTGTTTTTGTTTTTGAGTCAGGGTCTTGCTAGTGTGAGTTTGGGCTGGCCTGGAACTCCTGGCAATCCTCCTGCCTCAGCCTCCTGAGTGCTGGGACTACAGGTATACGCCCAGATCCACCTCTCTTTTACTTTTTGGACATTTTGTTTTAGTCCGATTTTTAGAAATTTGAAGTATGTACAATTTTTTTTAAACAATAAATTTGTTGGAACCTCTTGGGTACTTTAAATCTTACATACCTGCTCATGGATTCTCTTTCCTTAGTTGTTCCTTTTTCTTCATTCTCTACATTATCCACTTAGGAATTCCTATTAGATTGCTGGTGGTGCTTTTCAATCAGTTCTTCATGTCACTTAACGTATCTTTGACTTACTCTCTTTGTGTTCTTGTACTTCTTTCGGGCTAGCCTTCTACCTTATTAATCAGCTTTTCATCTGGGCTCTTGGTTCTTCAGCCACTGTTCCCCCACCCTTAAGTATGCTTGATCATTTTAATTTCCAAGATACTCAATTGATTCTTTAAACATATCTCATATATATATATGTATGTGTGTGTGTGTGTGTGTGTGTGTGTGTGTGTGTATAAAACCATATTTTTTGAGGTAAAATTGACATAGCATAAGATTCACCACTAGACTCTATAAAGTATACAAGTGCCCTTAGTACATTCACAATATTGCATGAGCAAAACAGCATAACACTATGTAATTGTAGATCATTCATTTCCTGAAAGAAATCCTGAGGGGTAAGTGTCACCCCTCAGTCTCCCTTGCCCTCTGCTCTTGGCAACCACTAATCTAATTTCTATCTCTATGGATTTATCTGTTATATTTTATATAAATGTAATCCTACAGTATGTGGCCTTTTGAGTTTGGCTCTTTTTTCTTAGCATAATATTTTCAGGGTTCATTCACATTGTAGCATGAGTCAATGTTTCCTTTCTTTTTATGGCTAAATAATATTTCATTCAGTGGATATACTATATTTTGTTTATCCATTCCTTAGTGGATGAATGAGTTGTTTCCATTTTTTGGCTGAGCTGAATAATGCTGGTATCTGTGTGTATGATTTTGCTTAGAATCCTGTTTCAAGTTTTCTTGGTTATGTATCTAGAAGTAGAGTTGCTTGGTCATTTGGTTAAGTATAACTTTTTGAGGAACTGTTAAACCTTTCCATAGTAGGTACACCAGTTTATATTTTTACTTGCATTATGTAAGTATTCTAATTTTTCCACACTCAATCCTTACAGTTGCCTTTAAAAAATATTTATAGCTGACCCAGTGTGTGTGTGAAGTGGTATCTCACTGTGTGTGTTTTCTAATGACTGAGCATCTGTTGCTTATTGTAATTTGATTGCACTGAATCTTTAAATCAATTTGAATATTGCCATTCTTAACATTATTAACTCTTCCAACTCATGAACTTAGGACATCTTTTCATTGTTTTAGGTCTTTAATTTCTTTCAACAGTGTTCTGTAGTTTTCATTGTATAAGTCTTATGCTCTTTGGTTAAATGTATTCCTAAATATTTTATTCTTTTTGATGTTATTGTTAATATAATTGCTTTCACAATTTACTTTCTTTTTTTTTTCTTTTTTTGGTTTTTTGATACAGGGTCTCACTATGTAGTTGAGACTAACCTGGAACTCACTATGTAGCCCAGGCTGGTCTCGAACTCACTGTGATCCTCCTGCCTCAGCCTCCTGAGTGCTGGGATTACAGGCGTGTGCCACCATGCCTGGCTTAAAATTTCCTTTCTAGATTGTTCATTTCTAGAATATCGGAAAAAAAAAATTTTTGTAGGTGGAGTTTGCCTTCTGCAATATTTTTTTATTTGTGTGTTATCTCTAATTTTTTTTGTGGTTTCAGATTTTCTACATATAAGGTAGTTCAGATATAGAGTTTTACTTATTCCTTATCAGTTTGCATACCTTTTAATTTTCTTGCCCTGGTTATTACAGTATAAAATTGATGAGACTAGACATCCTTCTCTTGTTCCTGATCTTACGAGGAAAACTCAGTGATTTACCATATGTAGCCATATATCCTTTAACATAGAGGATGTGTTCTGAGAAACACTTATTAAGTGATTTTGTCATTTTGCAAACATTGCATGTACTTATACAAATTTAAAATGGCTATAATATCAGTAGGCACTACGGTGTTATGGGACAGCTGGTATTTTGACCGAAACATGTTTTGTGCCACATTACTAGATGAAGTTAGCTGTGGGTTTTTTGTGTATGACCTTTATCAAGTGGAGGAAGATCCTTTATATTCCTAGTTTGTTCAGTGTTGTTATCATGAACGAGTATTAGATTTTGTCAGATTGTTTTCCCCCTATATCTCTTAAGATGATCATAAAGTTTTTGCCTTTACTAATTTTGTGTAATTTATTTTAAGATGTGAACTACCCTTGCATTCCTGGGATGTCCTACTTGGTCATGATATATAAACTTTTTAATGTGGTGCTGGATTTGGTTTTTGTAGTATTTTGTTGAAGATTTTGCATCCGTATTCACAAGAGATATTGATCTATAGTTTTCTTTTAGTATCTTTGTCTGGCTTTAAATTTGTATATTCTTAACATGAATTGAGTATCCCTCACCTGAAGTGCTTCGAAGTGTTTGGATTTTGGAATATTTACATTTACATAATGAGATATTTGGGGGATGAGACCCAAGTCTAAACATGAAAGTCATGAAGGCAATTTTATTCAATTTTTTAAAAAAATTAATTTTATTGGTATACATTTAAGGTATACAAATAATGACATTCATTATTGGAAATTTGTACCTTTACAGAATCCATCTTGGTTCTTATTATACTCAGTATTTTTAATAGTGCCTGTGTTTTGATTTTGACCATAAATATGAATCATGTGGAATTTTCCCTTTGTGGTGTCATGTTGGTGCTCAGAAAGTTTTGGATTTTGGAGCATTTTAGATTCTGGAGTTTTGGATTAGGGATGCTCAGCCTGTAGTAGTATATTTTCTAAATAGCACATAGCAATATTTTTTTTAAATTTAGTTTGAGAGTCTTTGGCTTTATTTGGAAAGTTAAATCCATTTATATTAATGGTTAATGTTCATGTTCATGTATTCAGAACCATATATTTTATAATTTGTCTTGCTTTTTTGGTTTGTTTTCTTTGTTTTTGTTCCATCCCTATTCCTATTCCCTACTCCACCTTTTTCCTAGCTTTATTAAATTATCATTCCACATTTTTTGTAATTCAATAAAAATGCCTCAGTGCCACTTGATGGTACAAGGAAATAGAAGAGAAAATAAGCAACAAATAGGAAAAAAAAACTGGACAGTGTTATAAAGAGGCAAAATGGATTCTTTTGATTTAGATACGCTATGTAGAAATTTTTATTGTTTCTTTTTAAAAAATATTGGCATTGAAGTTACACATTCCTCTACTTTTTATCTAATTGAGTTTATTGGTACTTTTTGAGTATATAGTATAGTTACATTCATCATTGGGATCTTGTACATTTACATGACAGATCTTGGTTCTCATTTTTTCCCCATACCCCTATTTCTCACTTTAAAATGGCTTTCCTTTTCTTTAAGTTTCATTGGACTAACAATTAGAGAATTGTATCTTTCATCTATCCTGAAAAATGGAAAAGGTTTGGTTTTAATTTCCTTCAATAGTGCTTTCCTCTGCTTTTATTATTACCCCCTTTTGGATCTCTGATTATATGTATGTTGAATTTTTAAATTTTATTTTCCATTTTTCTTAGCCTCTCATTTTGTATTGCTTTGTGTCTCTTGTGGGTGATTTCCTCTGGCCTATTTTAAAAAATATATTTAATATATTCTTTATCTTATTATTCTAGTATTTTTAATCCTTGTGGGTTTGTGATTTTGTTTTATACTGGCTTGTTTTCTGTTTTTTGTTTTTTTTTTTGCTTTTGTTTTTTAATTAAAAAATTTTTATTTTGGAATAGTTTTAGACTTACAGAAACATTACAAATTTAGTGTAGAAAGTTCCTATCTGTTCTTCACCCTAGCTCTTGTAAAGTTAAAACCTTATGTACATTTGTTGAAACTAAGAAATTAAATAATGGCAGAGCGTTATTACTAAGATTTTACCAGTTATTCCATTGTCCTTCTTGAGTTTGAATATTTCCAAGATTCAGTACAGAATATTACATTGCATCTAGCATTAAATTATTTTTTATTTAATTCACATTTCGTGGAACCTTGAGGGAATTCTTTGAGGTCTGTCTGTGTTTAAAGTAAATTCTTTTAGATAGGATTTGCATTTGCTTCTGCCATAGAAAGGCATTTTATACCTTTACACCTTTGTGTCTCTTTAAACCTCTGTGTGTGTTGTGTGTGTATATCTGTGTAGTTAATCTTTTAATTAGACGTTTACCTTAAACTTCATGTCAGAAAGTGTGATTTCTAGTTCCAAGTTCCAAGTTCAGACTTTTGATTAGGAATCTTAGGGGCTGCTTCTTCCTATTTAGAGTCAAAGTCCAGACTAGCTAGTTTCCTTCTTTTTTTTTTTGGTACCAGGGAGCAAACTCAGGTCCTTGTGCTTGCAAGGCAGGCTGCAGAACCACTGAGCTAAATCTCCAGCCCTAGTTTCCTTCTTATAGGATACTTCTCCCTTTTGAAAATTCATTCACTTAGAGTCACCTATTTGGAAGTCCCAGTATAGCTGGGGACCAGTGCCTTTGATCTGAGCTTTCATTCTTATTGATTCTAGTCTCCTTTTCATATGTTACCTTCACACTCTAAGCTGAGGATGAGCTGCATAGTTGGCAAAATATGGATTTGATTTGCTACCCAAGATAATTTTTGACATTTTTAAAGGTTTATGTAAAACGATGAATATTCTCAAGATTATATATGGCCTAAAAAGCCTAAAATATTTACTCTTGTGTGTGACAGAAAAGTTTGCTATTCTTTGCCCTAATATCAGGGATTGTTTCCTAATAGATTAGCACTTTATACTCTGGTTTCTCTTTAGATCATACAAATCTTTTTGCCTTTTACTAATAGATTAACATTTTGTTTTTCAATTGTGCATTAAAAAACCTTTTTTTTTTCCTTTTCCCCCTAGTACTGGGGATTGAACCCATGGCCTTCACTCTGAGCTACCTCTCCAGTCTTTTTAAAATTTTTATTTTGAGATAAGGGCTTGCTAAGTTGTCAGGAACCCCAGGCTGGCCTTGAACTTGCCATCTCTTGCTTCAGCTTCCCAGAGTGCTGAGATTACTGCTGTGCAGTACCATGCTTTGCGATTTTTATACACTAGCATTTTGTTATACTGGAATGGAAGTCTGAAGTCTTTTATTGCATAAGGTTTTGTTTTTTTTTTTTCTGGTACCAGGGATTGAACTCTGTATAAATTTTTATTAGTCAGTGTTTTTTTTGTTTGTTTATTTATAGTGTTAAAGTCAGAAAGGTTTTGTGTATTGCTTTTATTTTAATCTTAAAACTTTATTAAATATTGTTGACATATGGGTGTAGTTTTTAAAAAATTTACTGAGGAAGATAATGGGTACCTTAAGCTTAAATTTTATATGGCTTTTGTTAAATATAACATATCTCTCTAACCGAAAAAATAAAAAAGTCCTGCCAGTTTATATTCTAATCATTAATATAGAAGTATTTCTGTATCCCTAAACTCTCACAATTATTGGGTATCAACATTTTTTTCCTTTACTGAGTTTATTGGTACATTTTAGGTATACAGTACAGTTACATTGGGTATCAACATTTAAAAAGATGATTTAGGGGCTGGGGGTTTAGCTCAGTGGCTCCACCACTTGCCTCACAAATGCAAGGTCCTAATTTTGATCCACAGTACCTAAGGAAAAGAAAAAAGATACTTTAAATATTGTGTACCAGAAATGATATCTCATTGTTTTCTGCTTCCTTTTCTTAAGTCACTAAGATTGTTGGATGAAGAAGAAGCAACTGATAATGATTTAAGATCAAAATTTAAGGAACGCTGGCAAAGGACACCATCCAATGATCTCTATAAGCCTTTAAGAGCAGGTAAAAATGTGTATAAATGACCTTCACTTGAACAGATTCCTAAGTTGAGTCCAGGTTTTTCATTGATTAGACTGTTGTAATCTTGTTTTTACTGAACTGTGCACTATTATGAAAACCTAGGTGTTTTCTTCAGAGTAGTACAAAGATTTAAAAGAATAATTTTATTAAGTTCACATTCTTGCATATGAAGTGAAAATTAAAACAGTTTTCTCATTTCCTTTTTCAAGCCATGCATGTATTTTAAAAACATATGAGATCATATTATATGTATTATTTTGTCATTTATTTTCCTTTTCTTTTTTTCTTAGTAATGAATCCTGGGTGGTTAAAAAGTGACTTTCATAGTTACTTTGGGGTCTAATTTATGCTTTTCAGATTGATTATTAATATTTCATGCTAAAGACAAGTGATATCTTTGTTTTGGCTAGAGACATTTAATATCTGTAAATGGGATAAATACTATTTAGATTTTTCATAAAATATATTTGCTCTTCTAAGTTGATCTTTTTAGAGGAGAGTACTTTTTTTTCTTTTTATTGAGTTTATTGGTACAATCTAGGTATACAGTACAGTTACATTCATTATTGGGATCCTGTACCTTTACATGACAGGTTTTGATTCTCATTTTTTCCCCTTGTCTCTGCCCTCCCTTCATCCCTCCTCCCTTCCCCCTTTAAAAACACTTCATTTCCATTTTTTCATTTTCTCAGCTTTTCTTCTTTTCCCTTATTACCTTTCCCCTACCCTTCCCACTTTCCCTACACCTTTAGCCCTTTTCTTCCTATTTCACATTATCAGTTATCTCATTAGGATCTTGTGTACTATGATAGTTTTTCACACCAGAGAAACTATTTGGTATTTACACATGTGTGGCTTATTTATTTCACTTGAGTATATCCTCAATATGTATCCATTTTCCTATGAGTGACTCTAATTTCTCATTCTTTATGGCTGAGTAGTATTCCATTTTATAGAAAAACCACATCTTCTTTATACAGTTTCCAACAGATGGGCAAATGGGCTGTTTCCAAGTTTTAGCTATTGCAAACTGTGCCGCTATAAACATTGGTGTGCATATATCACTGTGGTATGATTCTTTTTAATTCTTTTGGAAAGATGGCCAGCAGAGAGATGGTTGGGTCAAATGGAACCTCTAGTCCCAGAGCAGAGTACTTCTTAAATAAGGTGTATATGTTTTTGGAATGAATGATTTCTTTATATATATGAGTCACAGGAATAGATTACAGTGATGTCAGTTTGTTTTCATTTGGCAGACAGTGATCATGAAATGTATTTTAAGGTATAACTGTACACTTAATTTTATAAGTGATTTTGTCATTTTTCCAGAAACAAAATTCAAAGATTGACAGGAGCTGAGTCATCATTATTTAGTATATTGAGGTTTATAGAAGGGGGGGATAAGTGAAGTTGAGTACCAGAACTAAAAAAGTACAACCAACTCATAAACATTGCTGTTAGAATCACTGCTGTACTCTTGAACTTTTTCCACCACAGAGGGAACCAACTTCAGAACAGTTTTAGATAAAGCTGTGCAAGCAGATGGCCTAGTAAAAGAACGTTACCAGTCTCATCGTGACACCATTGCACTTCTCTGTAAGCCGGAACCTGAGCTGAATGCTGCCATCCCCTCTGCTAACCCAGCAAAGACCATGCAGGGCAGCGAGGTGAGTGGGTGGCTTTAGATGTGGTTGGTCATTAGTTTATGAAAACTATGTTCAAATAATTATGTTTAATGAACTATCAATGTTCTTACTGCCGTCTTTAAAAAATGCAGAAGTGGCAGGGGATATAGTTGATATAGCACTTGTGTAGCATGCACAAGTCTCTGGGTTTGATGCCTAGCCACACACATGCACACACCCACACCCACACACATGTATGTGTGTAAATTTGAGCTGTTATATTTAAAGTAGCATTATATACCTGGGTGATAGGTAATTATACTTTAATTAATATCCTTAAATAACATTTTTTTAGTTAAGAATGTCTTTATGAGCTAGATGCTATCGTCCAGGCATATCATATTTACAATATTTTACTAAGGTTTTATAAAAGGGAGAGGCTTGCTTATGAAAATAGAACAGATTTAGAGAAAAAAATGAACATATGTAGGATCCATGAAGAGCTGAGTTGGTGTGTCCTGAGAAGCTGCTAGGTACAGTAGGACACAGTACAGTAAGATACCTGAATCTACTGCAGAAACCTAATAGATAAGAAATAAGTTAGATGCTTGGATTACAAGCAGGCGAAAAGGAGATTAATTTGTGAAGAACAAACATACAATAAAAGAAACTGCAGACCTGTATATGCATGCATATGTACAGTACATATTTTATGTATTGTTATATTTTTACTTCTTTTTCTAAGACACAGTCTCTGTGTCAGGTTAGACTTAAACTTGTATAGCCTAGTCTGGCCTTGAACTAATGTGATTCTCCTGCCTCAATCTCCTTTGTGCTGGGATTACAGGTGTATATTACTCTGCCTGGCCTGTGTATTTTTTTTTGTTTGTTTGTTATTGTTGTTTGGTTTTTTTTTTTTTTTTTTTTAGTGATAGCTTGCTCTTGCGAAACAGGTGGTGGCACCATTGAGCTAAATCCTTGGCCTACGCCTGTATATTTTTAAATCCTAATTTCCCTCCTCTCTCACTCAAAATGAAGTTTAGTATGGATGTATGCTTTTGTACTTCTTTTCTTATCTTTTTTTTTGGTATTGGAGATGGAACTTGGGAGCTTGTGCTTGATGAGGCAGTTGGTGGCACCACTGAGTTAAACACCCACCCCTATTTTGTACCTGTTTTCCTCTTCTCCTCTTTCCTCTCCTTCTGGCAATTGAATTTTATTAAGATTAGGACACTTAAGAGACATGAGTATAAAGAGAGGCCCAAAAAGTTCACCTGAATTTGAAAGAAACAACCTTAGTTTTTTCTCAGGTCTCTGTTCTTAATGAAGCAGTGTTATTCTGGACATTGTTGTCAAGGGGTTAAGTAGGACTGTGGAATTCTCAGAAAGAGGGTGGTTGGTGGAATGATCCACTAGAGTTGGAATTGTTGCTGGTGAGAGGAAATGTAGGTGGGCTTCATTGCATCTTCCTTTGTCTGTTTCCTAGCTTGCTTTCTGTGAGTATCATTGGGGCAAGCAGATTGGGGGCTTGGGTTGGTATTTTTCCTTGTTATCTGAAGCAAGATGTAAGTGAAAGGGCCAGGTTGAAAATGGCATTAGAGGGCGCTTGAACACTAAGGAATATTTGTCAATCATGGTGAATGTAAGTCAGGGATTACTTGAATACAACAGGCAAGACTTAATTGTATGAAGATATGTAAAATAACCATCTTATCCTTTTTCAGCATATAAACATATTGTATATAGTAGCCCCTGCTTGTTCCCTGCTGCAACTTCTCCATCTAGCAAGCTCTCTCCACATCTGTTTGTATCTTGTTTGTCTCTAGAAATCTGTCATTGTATGCAAAACAGGATATCATTTACTTGATATACTGCTTTTACTTGCCAAAACGATAACTTTACACACCTCAAAGCCATTGAAAGGTGGCAGAATAAGGAAGAGTAGTTAAGAGATTGGTTTTGGAGTTAGTCATACTTAGGTATCAAATTTCCCCTCTATCCCTTACTAGATATGTAACTGTATCACTTAATTTTTCTTAGACTCAATACTTCCATCTTTAGAATAGAGGTGATAAATGTACCCTGTAGGATATTGTAAGGAATACTTTATATTTGTGAACTCTTTAGCTCAGTGCCTAGAACATAGTATTCAGTAAATTATAGCTGTTGATAGTGTTATTAATGCTGTTGTAATAATCTGAGTCAACTAAAGGTATATAATATTTATAAGTAAACCTGTTCTACAATTTTATTCATGGCTTTCCGAGGAATCATCTCTCTGACCTTGAATTAACTTTCATATATCATTTTCTTTTTGAAATTAATTATTTTTGTCAATTAATATATCTTTTTATTAGGTTGTAAATGTCTTAAAGTCCTTATTGACAAATCTTGATGAAGTAAAGAAGGAAAGAGAAAATCTCGAGAACGACCTAAAGTCGGTGAATTTTGATATGACAAGCAAGTTTTTAACAGCTTTGGCTCAGGATGGTGTTATTAATGAAGAAGCTCTTTCTGTCACTGAACTGGATCGAATCTATGGAGGCCTCACAACTAAAGTCCAAGAATCTCTAAAGAAACAGGAGAGTCTTCTAAAAAATATTCAGGTAAAATTTATATATTTAAGAAGATATGTTAAAAATTATAAAAAGGATATATACCTGCATGAAATTTATGTCCATTTAGTAAAATGAAATTAATTTATCTGTAGTTTACAGTGGAATAATATGCATCTCTATTTTACAAAATTTAATTTGGCACACATTGGTTTAAAAAAATGCGTGGAACAAAGCTACTCTTCTGTGACTAAAATGTTGCATGCGACTTGAAAGTGCTTCAGGCTTCAGATATTTTGGGCTTTTACTAATTTTTGAAAGGTTTATTTTTTTGGCAATATTTAGGGACCAGTGAGAATTAGATGATTCTTGGAATCATATGGCTTAACACATCAAAGACCTTTTTTTGTTTTTTTTTGAGACAGGGTCTCACAATGTAGTTGAGACTGACCTGGAACTCACTATGTAGCCCAGGCTGGTCTCGAACTCACAGCAATCCTCCTGCCTCAGCCTCCTGAGTGCTGGGATTACAGGTGTGCACCACCATGCCCAGCCACATAAAAGACTTTAATCAAGTTATATACAAAATTAAATACGTTTAGATGTTTAAAGTTTGTATTACAAATTAGTGTTTACTAATGATGTGATAGTTTGCCCATTCAGGAGTTAATGTGTAAAATCAAACATTGTTTTCTTCTTTTCAATATTTATGTGTAATATAAAGTATGCTAAAGAGTAAAATTTTAATTGTATGTTTATACAATGCTATATATTAGCAGAAAACGTCATTATTGGTTGTTTTGATACCTTTTGGATTTATGATATTTTTACTTAAGATATAAAGCATTGTAAACTTCAAGAGATACTTTCTAGTAATTCTGCATGTATATTTATTTATATTAATCTATATTAATGTTATAAACTTAATTTTATAAGCAAATATCAATTACATATATTTATCTTTTAACAAGGTCTCACATCAGGAATTTTCAAAAATGAAACAATCTAACAATGAGGCTAACTTAAGAGAAGAAGTTCTGAAGAATTTAGCTACTGCATATGACAACTTTGTTGAACTTGTCGCTAACTTGAAAGAGGGCACAAAGGTATGACTAAACAAAAGAAACAAGATCAAACAATATAGTTTGTGAAGTTAATTGGTATTTCCAGTTAGACCAAATTATTTTTTGCCTTGAATTTATCTGTAATGCCTTCTGCTCCTGAGTGATTTGTTGTAGAGGAATTAAGCCAGATAAATACAACAACATTTCCTTGGAACTTTGAAGAGTGAATTATATATCTCACCTGGCAGAAAAGGGATACAAGTATTCTTGGTAGTGAGTATCAGTACAGAGATGCCAAAGCCATTGACACCTCTTTAAGGGTTAGGAAGTTGACCAGTTTGAGTGAATGATGAGGGAAAAAATAGTAGTAAAGGCTGATCTGTAGTAGGAAGAGGAAAGATGAGGCCTTTATATTTTGTGTTTGTAGTTTGGTAAAGATAGACTTGTGATTTTCTGGAGTATCAGAGTAATAATAAATATATTTTCAGTACTTTGGCTTATCCATTAAAATGTTTAGAAAAATGTTTGTTTTTGTTTTTACCATTGGTTTTGAGGGAATAGGTGAATTTAAAGGCTTTTCAGATGCACAATTTCTTTAGGCACCTAACTCCATACTGATCACTGAATAAAGTGATGTCACATAGCAGGTATAATGTAAAACCTGAAGAGAAGATTAAAAACACTACAAAGTCTTCCAAATAGAGAGGGTAGTGGATAGTAAAATGCCATTTTAGTTTGGATTAAATGCTTTCTTCTAATAGATGGGCTAAGAAATCTCCAAAAAGCCTTTGCAAATTCTTTTACGTCTGTTTGAAACGATGCCAGTATTTTTGAAATAAATGTTGAAGTATAATTCTTCACCTTTGATCTAGTGACACTAGTAGTAAATTGACTTCTCTGTAGCAATTAGAAACATGCTCATGATCATGAAATTCAACTGTTGTTTAACTTTTGGTGACAGTGTTCTGTAAAAATGACATTTTCTTTACGAAGCTTAGGTGATGTTTAATATGAAGTTGTATTTAATTTGTAGTATGAGTGTGTTTCATGCAAAAGAAGTCTGTTTTTCAGATTTAATCATCACCGACAAATTAGCTTTAGATGGTGTTTCTCCCTACTTTAAAAAACTATTAGTATTTGTGTTTGTTCTTTGCTTACAGTTCTATAATGAACTGACTGAAATCCTGGTCAGGTTCCAGAACAAATGCAGTGATATAGTGTTTGCGCGGAAGACAGAAAGAGATGAGCTCTTAAAGTAAGTTTATTTTGTATATCAAATTGTATTTAGAGACTTTTGGGTGCCCTTACACTTGGTAGGGTGAGATACCAGTTTTCCTTCTTTTCACTTGAGTATTTTATAAAGTAACAAACAGCTGCAGGATCTGGGAATAAAAGGGTGAAAAAGAACAGAAACTTTAGATGTAATGAAGTCACAGGAGAAAACAGTTCTTGGTTGCAAAGCTCAGGAAGTGCCAACAAGTAGAAGCAGGCGTCTGCTTTGCCTACTTTAAAGTGGCAAGTAGGTATCTTGTATAAAACAAGAAATATAGAACATGGAAAAGACAGGGTCAGCAGCTCAGAAAATGTCAGCAAAATTCTTTTTTGAAGGAGCCTACTGAGAAAGTGGGGCCAGTAATGTAGAATGTATTTCATACTGAGTAATCATTTATAAAGTGAAAAAAATTAACAAATTTAACAAAACCTAGTAGATGAAGAATAATCATCAAAATAATATTGTCCCAGGACATAGGAAAATTCCGAGCAGATTTTTCACTATGAATTAAAACAACTACTTTGCAACATGATAACCAGAGATAAGATACAACGAACTGGGGAAACAATATTTGAAACTTACTGATGGCAAAAGGCTGATTTACTTTTTAAAAAAAGAAGTCATCGAAATTGTTGGGAAGGCTGGGTGTAGTGGTACATGCCTGTAATCCCAGCACTGTGGGAGGTTGAGGCAGCAGAATTATACATCCAAGCCCAGCATGGTTAACTTAGTGATTTAGGGAGGCCCTGGCTCAAAAAATTAAGGGTTGTGGATGTAGCTCAGGGCAGAAGGTCCTGGGTTCCTTTTGTACCAAGGAACCCAGTGGAAAACTGGGAAAGAAGAGGATGTGAGAGAAGTTTTATAGACAGATGCCTTTTAAGCATATTTTAAGAACTCCCATTCCCTATCAAAATAAAAATTAATCAGAAATAACATTTTCAGATTGGTAAAAGTCTGGAAGTTTGATACTGTGCTTTGTTAGCACGTAATAGAACGAAATCTTATATGTTGCCATGAGCTACGGAATGGTGCAACCCCTTGCATAGGGCAGTTTAGCTGTAAAGGTCAGGATTACAAATTCCAGCATCCTTTAATGCAGCAATTCTGTTTTTGGGAATCTGGTCAGTGGATATATTGTCATGTGCTAGGAATGACATATTTACTAACTTATTTTTGCATTGCTTATTAAAATAGAAACTATGTTCAAAGGCTGGTAAAATAAAACTTGCTGTACGTTGAAAAACTGCAAAGCTCAGTAATGTACTGCTTTACAAAAGGGGATATTTTCATTTTATTGATATGGAATGATCTCTAAGGTCAGGAGAGCAAAGAAGACAGAGAATAGGGTATACCGCTTTTTGTGTAAATGGGAAAAAATAAAAATATTTGAGTTGGCTTGTTTATGCACAAGGAAGTTCTGAAGAAATACTTTAATATTCTTATTTTCAGACATCTCATTTTAAACTAGTCTGAAAACTAGCTTTAATATCTGTACATGTATTTCTGAATTTAGACTGTAAACAAAATCACTTCTGAGACAAACATAAGCTTGTCAGAGTTTTTAGCTCGGTGACTGAAAAGTAAATGAATGATAAAAATGTAAGCCCACATACTAATATTAGCTTTAAAATATGTGAGGGTTTATTTTGTTAAAATCATCGCTAATACTCCCCACCTAAATTCTTTTAAAACATTTTTATTGAATATGGTGTACATTACAGAAGTATACATCAGTGTTCATCTTGTTGACTTTGCACAAACTGACTACACATGGGCAGTCAGCAATTAGATCATTACACAGGGAATTCTTAGCACCCCAGAAACATCACTCATACATCTACCCAGTCATTACCCTGTTCCCCTGTGAGAACCACCAGCATTCTAACTTGGGAGAGCATACATTACTTTCTCTCTTTTTTTGCATGGTATATAAATAGAACCATATATTATGTACTTTTTAGTGAGTGAATTCCACTCAACATTATATTGGATTCATCCATTGAAAGTGTGTGTTTATAGATCTTTTATTTTCATTTGTGTATACATTTTATCATGTGAATACATGGTAAGCCACTCTGTTGTTATGAGTTACTAGTTTCGGGTTATAATAAATAGTGTTGGCATAAATGTAAAAGTAGCTATCCAAGATTACTAATAGCAGTGAAAGAATAGAAATAAATATCTAGAGCTAGTTAAATAAGCAAAGCTATGTCTGTATGGTGAAATACTAGGCAATGACAGTGCATTTGAAAGTGTAAAATTTCCTAGTAGACATAGTAAAAAGTTAAAAGAAACAGGTGAAATTAATTTCAGTAATTTAAGTATATCCAAAATACTATCATTTGAACATAGAATAAGTGAAAAATTATGACAGATATTTAATTTTTTCCCAGTAAGCAAAATCCAGTGTATATTTTATACTTTTAGCACATCCTCAGTTCACATTAGCCACGCTTCATGTATTTCACAGCTACAAATACTTAGGAGTGGAATTATTGGGTCACAAGATATGTTCAGCTTTAGTTGAATGCCAGTTTTCTGCTAAAGAGGTTGCAGTAGTTTATATACCTGCTAACAATAGATAAAAATTCTGATTGTTCTACATTTTTGCTGTTGTTCTGGTGGGTACTGATATGTTCTTTTGATGTGATTTATAATTTGTTTTCTTGAAATCTTTCATCACAAGTTTAGAGTATGAAAAGAATTTTACTGTGAACTTCGTTTTCACAAATGATTTAAATAAATCAGTAATGGTTGTTGGGCATTTTTTTTTGCTTTAATAGCTTTTTATATCATAGGTAAGTGGCTAGAAAATTCTTATCTGTCCTGTGAATGTTGTATTTACTACAGCCATCCTTAGTGCTTATCAAAGGAAAAGAAATGTCTCGTGTTAAGGCTTTATAATATATACATGTATTTGTTATATATTTCAAGATATGACCTTTTAGAGTTTTAATATTGAGTAAACAGCATTAGTTATTTTTTTAACAAAAGTGTATCAGTTTTCCTTGTGTCTAGGGTGATTAGGGCCTTTTTGAGAGTGCAGGTTGTGGATGGTAGTTTTAAGGGTGGCTGTTAATTGTTGAATCAGGGCAACAAGTACTGTTGCAGACCTTTTAGGACATATATTTACTTTCGGTTTATGTTAAGGTCATGAGCTATTGGTTGACACCTTGTATTATTAGAGTGCATTTTACCTTAGGTATTATTGAATGAGATTTTTTTAGATGATTCCAATTTACTGTTGAAGAAGACTTTATAAATTTTACTTAATATTTAATGTTAAATTTTAATAATTTTTTTCAACAGTATATCTTTTTTTAAAGTTTAACCTTAGTAATAGATTATGAGTTATCTTTAAACATAAAATATCTCAGGATCACATTAAACCAGGTTTGGTCATGCACATCTATAATCCAAGCACTCTGGGTGGCTAAGGATCACAAATTTGAGCCCAACCTAGGCAGTTTAGAGAGACTGTATTAAAAAGGTCTGGGATATAGCTCAGTGCAAAGATTCAGAGTTTAATCTCCGATACCACCAAATAATAAAATACCATATCAAGTGCCACATTTCTTTGAATATCTTCAGATGTTATTTATCCTAAAGTTTACAAAATAGTTGCAGAGTTACCTGTTGTTTTATTTTCTGTAATATTGATATCATATACTATTTAAAATATTTGCTACATGACTGAATAGTCATAGTTTTCTGATAATTTCTGGATAGGTTATGTTAGTTTTTTCTTTTTTTATTTCTTGACTAGGTCTTATTTTTTTTTTGTTTTTAAATTGAATTTATTGGTACATTTTAAGTATATGGTACAGTTACATTCATTATTGGGATCTTGTACCTTTACTTGACAGGTCTTGGTTCTCATTGTTTCCCCTTGTCCCCGCGACTAGGTCTTATTAGAGGCTGCACTCTTTTAGGACTACTTGCCTAATTTAATGTGTTCCTTCCTCAAGCTATGACTGTGATCTCTGAAAAAGTTTACTTTCTTTCCTAGTTAACAGAAATAGAGTAAGATATAACTTCATTTTGTCAAACTGTAGGAAGAAAGATTTGTGTTCCAGTCAAGAATAAAGTTCTAAAATACTGTTATTGTTTTGGAACCATTTTCTCTTTGTACATAAAGAAAAGAAAAATAAGAATAAAACATTGTATGTGTATATTTTATTTTTTTCGTTTTGTAAATTCTGACACTCTGTCTTTCAAAAGGGATTTGCAGCAAAGCATTGCCAGGGAACCTAGTGCTCCTTCAATTCCTACACCTGCATATCAGTCCTCTCCAGCAGGGGGACATGCCCCAGCTCCTCCAACTCCAGCTCCAAGAACCATGCCGGTTAGTAAGCCAAATACACTTAAAATGGAAGTTTTGCATTCATCACTGACAGCTTGTCTGTTCTAAAACATAGAACAGACTACACTGGAAGGATCTAGTGGTCAGCACCTTCATCAGGTAGCCAACCTTCTCATGGTTTGTAATACGTAGAATGCAGCATCACTCATGAATTCCTGGCCAAAAATGTTTAAGCCTAGTCTTATCAAACCTGAGGAATAATTTTCTGTTTATAACAAATACAGTGATGTTCAAGTTAACCAGTGCCATAAAGAAATAGTTGGACATATCTAAAAAATGGGACATATGGGACACCTAGGCTGATCTTTTCTAAAATAGAAAAAAAAAAAGGAAGGCATATTCTCAATTAAAATAACTGAAAAATTCATTATAATCAACTGTGGTACGTAAACCTTGATTTTGGTTCATAAAAATAGCTATTAGAACTTCTTGGTGACAAACGTGGAAATTAGAATCCAGACTGGATATTTGATAATATGGAGGAATAACTTAATTTTCTGAGGGTGGAAATACTATTGTGATTATATAGGAGAATATCTTTATTAGGACATGAATGTTGAGGACTATAGGAGTAGTGTCTTGAAGTTTTCAAAACGCCTCTAAATGTATAGTATGCAGATATAGATAGCTATAGTGAAGCAGTAATGGTACAAGGTTAGTTATTGAATTTCATAGTGGTTGTGTGATTATTATACTTTTAAAAAACTTTTCAGACATTTAAAAATTTTTAGAAGAGTTTGCGGACTAGGGAGAAAGTACAGTAAAAAATTGTGTATTTTACTCCAAAATTTAACCATTGGTGGAAGCAGTAAATTATTATATAATTACATATTAGGCATCAGGAAAAGAGCAGTGACTGGAAGTTTCACAAATTGGAGAAATATTCTTCCACTGTGGTACATTTCTAGAATAATTACTTTTTAGTTGGATGCTGTAGTTTCTCATTTATTCCTTTTAATTAAAAGAAGCTTGAGAAAACTATGAAACATTTTGTAGTCAGAATTTACTTTTTCTTACAGCCTTCTAAGCCCCAACCTCCAGCCCGGCCTCCACCCCCTGTGCTTCCAGCAAATCGAGCTCCTTCTACTGCTCCAGCTCCACTGGGGACTGGGAGTGCAACACCAGCTTCGACACCAGCTCCGACACCAGCTCTGACACCAGCTCCGTCACAAACCCCTGGCTCAGCTCCCCTTCCACAGGCCCAGGGACCACCCTACCCTACCTATCCAGGATATCCTGGGTAAGCATGCAACACTGTATATCCTGACAATAGGCTCATGTTGTTTCTAGCTCTGAGAGAGAGGGCACCCCTTTAAGTGGAGGTGTCATGGTCAGCTTATATAGAAATTAAAATAATGTTTCAGAGTTATTGAACAATGATTTCCTAGGCTATTTAAAATTTGTTTTTATTATTATTAGAGCATGTTACTAATACAGAATTGCGAGGTTTGTTTTGGGAAATTAGTATGTTCATTTAATATGTCTTAATGATTTTCAACCTCATTACCTCCTCCTCCCTTTATTGCCTCTTCTCCCATCCACCCTCCGCTTGTGCAGAAGTCTACCTTCTAGTTTCCTATTATTTTTCCTTTATTTAATTATCATGCATATTTTTCTCTAATTTTGGCTTATTTCACTTAACATAATGATCTCCAGTTGCATCCGTTTTTCAGCAAATGGTGTGATTTCATTCTTATTTGTGGCTGAATGTTTTATTATGTACATACACCATATTTTCTTTATCCATTCATCTGTTGACAGGTGTCTAGGCTCTTTCCACAGCTTAGCTATTGTGAATTGTAGTGCTATGAACAGGGATTGTGGATATCACTATAGTATGCTATCTTTAATTCTTTCAGGATTATACCCGGGAAAGGGATAGGTAGATCAAATGGTATTTCTATTTTTAGTTTTTGAGGAATCTCCATATGGATTTCTCTTTTTTTTCATACTGATTTCTCTAGTAATTATACTAGTTTACATTCCCACCGCTGATGTAGGAGGGTTCCTCTTTCCTTTGCTCTACTGTGTCTGTGCCAGCATTCTTTTTTTTTTTTTTTTTTGTATTATTGATAATACCCAGTCTGACTGGGGTTAGAAGAAATCTCAAATTGGTTTTAGTTTGTATTTCTCTAAAAATGTACATTTTTTCATATACTTACTGACTGTTTATAGTTTTTCTTTTGAGAAGTGTCTATTCAGTTCACTTGTGCCCCCCTTTTTTGATTTGGTTATGATTTTTAGGGGTTTAATTTTTTTTAGTTCTTTATATATTCTAGAGATTAGTCCTCTGTCAGGAGTGTAACTAGCAAAAGTTTTCTTCCATTTTGTAGGCTGTCTCCTCACTGTTTCCTTTTCTGTGCAGAAGCTTTTCTAATCCCATTTCTTGGTATATCCTATGCTGTTGGGAGTTCTGTTCAGGGAGTCTTTGCCTATGCTAGGGTATTTAAATTTATATTTTTATTTTTTTCTCATTGCATTTTTATTAAGCATATCTCTTCTGTGTGGAATTCAGAATGTTTCCTTGGGGCCATCTTTAGGTGATAAACTGATAGGTACCTTTTCTGAGCTTAGTGTAGCAAGACTTATATGGCCTTGTTTGCATACCTATACTTTGAAGTCTTGACATTTAATAAATGATTGAATAGAAATTTACTTAGCTTTGGAGTGTGCCTATTTAAAGGTTAGCCTGTGGCAATTTCTTCTTCTTTTCCCTTGTGTTGTCAGTTCCTTTTATATGCTAGGCAAACGCTCTACCCTGAGCTACACCCACAGCAAACCCTCCTTGTGGTAATTTCCTAGTCTTAAAAATCCAGGCGCTTGACCACTTTTTTAAAAGATGTGTTCTAACTTTGTTTAATAAGTATACTTTCATTTTCCAAATATTAGAATTTTATAAAGTGTAAATATATATGCATCGTGGTGAGTATTGTGTCTTTTGAAACAAGAATGTATTTAGGTTATTAGTTTTGCCACATTAAAACGAAGGGTCTCTATTCCATCTTTAATAATTGAACATTTAATCTTATTTCCTTCAGTATTTTTTCTAGCTAGTAGTAACCGTGATACACTTTAATTTTAATTAATTATAACTTTGAAACTTTTTCTTTCTATTGTTCTTTAATAGATTGAAAAATAGAGAATAGCTTTCTTTAAAAAATTGGCTTTGGAATAATTATTGTATGTTTTGTTTTCTCGTATTTGATTTATCAATCCCATGATTTTTGTTTGTTTTCTTCTCCCCATCAGGTATTGTCAAATGCCCATGCCCATGGGCTATAATCCTTATGCCTATGGCCAGTATAACATGCCATATCCTCCAGTGTATCACCAGAGCCCTGGACAGGCTCCATACCCAGGACCCCAGCAGCCTTCATACCCCTTCCCTCAGCCCCCACAGCAATCATACTATCCACAGCAGTAATATGTCTGCTCAGAAGCTCGGCTGGTTTAGTTCAGAGGGAAAGAAGTACCAACTCTGCAATAAGTGTACTAAACTCTGCGCTCTGGTTAATAAAATGTACTTTACTGAATGCAATGTATAATTTCTGTCTGTGGCTAAAAGCTAAGAGCTATGCCCCAGTTCCACATTCGATTGAACATGTGGGATTTGCTGCTGTTGCAGTATAAACACTAGGTATAATAGGATTTGAAATAAATTGCATTACAGTTCATAAAAGTTGAAAATGAGAAATTAAACCTGTAAGTGAAATGTTTGAAACTAGCATATTTTATACATAAGATGCAGTTGGGACATCAGATCCTCATAAAGATGGTTTAAGTACTGATATTCAAAGAAACTGAGTTTTCTTTATCTTTTGGTTTATTGATTTGGTTTAATTTCCATTATGATATTTTACATAATCAAGGCATTGTAAATCTTATAATTTAAAAATAAATTACTTAAGAACAGTTGTCATTGTTATGTTTTGTCATTGATTCTCATTATTGTCTAATTCCTTTCTGGTATTAGTCTCTCATTTTGTATGTTCACAAGTTAGACAGATAACTGTGTTAAGTGCACAAACAGTGCAGGTTAATAGTCAGGTTGAAGGACATTTTATAGGAAAACCAAAAAATAGTACCGTAATTTATCTTTCATATGCTGATTAACAAATTAATTTTGACATTTATTTTAAAAGTCCCAACAATGTGGAAGAAATACACAATTGTTACCAAAGATTCTTCAAGTAAATATACAAATATGTGTATATTTAATGTTTTATTGTTAGCTTCTTTAAGAAATTGATGTAAATTCTGGTAATATTTTTTCAGTTTTTCATAACCTGGTTCAATAAATACATGTCATTGACAGTACTATAATGTAATGGAATTGTTTAGAGAAAATTTACTGTACCCTTCTGTTTTTTTCCACTTTCTGATCCTAGTAACATTTAATGCACACTGTGTATGAATGAATCTAAGCCCCTGCCCCTTTTGCTCCTGCAAGATTGAATTACTTTATAGTTTAGGGATCATGCAAAACAGTTGTTAAAACCACATACAATTTCTGGAATAGGCTGTGTATTATTTACTGTTAGTTTCTGCTGTTAGGATATTTAGTTTCTGTATAAACTTCAGTAAAAATAATGAAGGCACATCATGGGATGAGGAAATGAGAAAGGCATGGGTTGTCCAGTGTCATAGGGGGGACTGTTTTATATGAAGTTAATTTCTGAACATTAGGCGTATGAGTTGATTTCCAGTGAATCTATTTATGTTATTTTCTGAGTTTTAATGCTGACTTTTTCTTGCATTATTGTTTCATTTAAATTATACTGTCATTTGGTCCACTGTTGTTTTCACTTATAATTTAGATTCATATTTTAAATGTTAGAATAAAAGTTTGATTGTAAAAGGTAGTAAGTTGTTTTAAAATACATGTATATTTTAAAGAATCTTATTTTGTATGTAGAAAACAAACATGTTATTCAATATAAATGACATGAAATATTGAAAGTCCAATAGTTAAACCATGGAAAAAATAGTTTTTTACATATCATTGCTATCATTGCTAAGTTTAATACTTTGGATTCATTGAAGTGTGAGATGGGTTTGACACCTCTGTAAATGGCATTTAAGTTCTACATTCTCACCACTTGAGGTATCTTGTGATTAACATACACCCAATAAGTGTTAGGAGTATCCCAAATTGCTAGTTTATAAATCTTACTAATGCAGAAACAAGGAAAAAAGCAAAATTGGCCTGAATATTCTCTTGGGGGAATAGGGCACTAAAGGAAAGGGTAAGTGCATCAGATGGCCAAAGAGAGGTATGCGGCCAGTTAGCGAAGCTGCATCTCCTCCCAGAGAGGTGAGGGAAAATGGTTTGGAAACCCCAGAAAAAGAGCCTTCATGGCTTGCTCAACTGTTTGCAAAGACTTTTTATGCAGCAACCCAGACCCATTCTCTCTTCTCAGTTCACCCGTCCTGTAGATTGTTAAAGATGCTTTGGTCGTCCCTGTTCAGGTACACATGACCATGTCTACAGCCCTTCATTGCTGGATTTGTCTTCATTGACCCGTCTGGTATTGTTACATGCAAAAGAGCCTTTTCTTTCTCAGTTTTACAATCTAGCAAACAAGTCATTTCTGGGATTGTGTTTATTACCAAACTTTTAAATCCTTTGCTTAGCTCCCCATGTCCCACAATATAATGGTCCTAAGATGTTCTGGATAATGCTGTTTATTTGGAGGTAGGAGGATTTGATTCTGTGGCTGAGGTATATTGTACTCATATAGACATTTTATATCTACCTAAACTAAGGGAACCATCCCCACATGTATTGGGCTTTGCAGTACTGTTTTAAAATGGATTAATAATGAAGCTCTGCATAGAAGGAACTAGTCAGAATTGGGGTAAAACTGTCTAGCTTTTATTTCTTGTTCCTATTAAGGGACAGATGACTTGTCTGTTATAAAGCATTGGTCTAAAGAGAGCTATTCCTGTATTCCTGGTCTTGATTATCGGTTTAAAAAAATCAGTCATGTCTTTACAAATAAATCTTTGTGAGATACCTTTGTACCCATATCCCAACCTCTTTGTTAGTTTATAATGGACCCCCCCCTATTTTAAGTAGTTCATGGAGCCTTCGTGTCTCCACTCATCCCAGTCAGCAGCCTTTCTGTCAAAGCTGGTTTTTAAAAATGTTTTCCATTAGGACTTTACACTTTGCAAAAGTGTTTTGTATACATTTTCTAATTTCATAAACAGGATAAAATACAATTTAAGTTGGTTTTAGTTTCCTAATGTTGATTTTTTTTTCCCTTATGATTAGTATAACTTGAAGAATCTTGCTATAACCCAATGGTATTTCATGTTTTAAAGACTTTGAAATTATTGATTCACAGTATAAGCCACGATACAAAGGAAAAGAAAAACCCCTGCTATAGTCATAATTGCTGGTTTAAAAATAGACTTTACAACTAAATGGTTGATTATAAGGTTTACATGGAAGAGCAAAGAAGGAAAATTATATTTTTAAAGAAAGAGAATATTCAGGCTTTATTTCTGGTATGAAGTTTATATTTTTAAAAAAGATCCTATATTATCACACCAGAGATTTTAGATTCTTTTCTGGTTACAAACATTGCTGGTAGTTGGATTATATTTTTATTGTATTCATTTCTCTTAGGGGGAAAATTGTAAAGAAACAAAAAGGTTCCAGATGAATGTATCCTAGAAATAAAAGCTGAAAGATTCTTAATTCCTTGGAGTATGAATTCTTATTTAAAGTGTTTATCTTACAGCTTTATAGTTTCTATAATTTTGACAAATGGTGGATTGGGAAATAAACCCACTTTGATGAAATATAAAGTATTACAAAAGGAAGACAATTTAATTTTTAAGCAGTTGTCAGCTGTTACAGACAGACCACGCCTTTGGTGTTTTACTCCAGTTCTTTCACATGTATTTTCTTCAAGAACAAGTTTTTGAAGGGGCTGATTTTGGGGAATGATAGCAAAATTATATTTAGGTGATAGAGGAAGGGGGGTAGTGAAATGTTTTTGTCTTTTAAAGCATTTATATTTTTATTTGTTTTGCCATATTTAAAACTGCATTCTTATGTAGCACAATACAAAAGCTTTGTCAGAAAATGTATGGATGTATCTATCTTTCAGGTTTATTAAGCAAACTATCTTCAGGAGTGAATCAGTTGTCTGATGTCCTTATTGCATATATTCTAACCTATAACAGTTGGGCATAGTCAAATCCTAGCTTTGTTTTTATTTGTTTGACATTTGGTCTGTAAAGTATGCAGGTCAAGCTTGGGAGCCCAGAGGGATGGGGTGAAGGAACAGTGAGGAGCTAAGGAGCTAGCTCTTTCTGCAACTTGGGTTCTGCTGTGACCTGAATGAAGGTGACTGAGAATCTGTGTACTGGAGCAGCTTTAGCACTTGCTGCTATTTTACCACTGCAAGTCAGAGTTGGCTCAGGGACTGCCTGTGAGCAGACCCAAATTTTACTCGAGCTCGGTCCTTGAGCTGCAGACCGCTGAACCACCGCCACAGGCTACTGCCAACCAGTGTCCCTGGTCACTGGACTTGGCTTTGTAGGTAACCATCTGTGGGACATCCAAGGTGCCTGCTTTTCTTCTGTGGTTCTTGATGTCCTTTCTTCTCATTTCATCTATTTCACCCTCCCCACTTCTTAGAAACTGTAATTACTTCGGGCCCAATGGGTAATCGAGAACAACCTCCCTATTTTAGGGTCAGGTGCTTAGCAGACCTAATTCCATTTGCAACCTTAATTTCTCAGATAGTTTTCTCATTTTGCTCTCTGGGATGTGCGGAATAATATACCGTATCCTCGGTTCTCACCAACAGAAAGAGATTTACAAGGTAGTGCTGAATCCACAAAGATATAGATCCCAGTGTCCGTTTCATTTCCCTTTCATGAAAGTAGTGCATTTACTTCCTAGAGGAAGATTCACCTTTGTCAAGTTTTGTTTTCTCGAAGGTCTTTGTATTACCAGTTTTATAAGTGGAAGTGCAGTGTAGGAGGGAATGTGGGAGACTGCACAAGGGAAGGCGCTTTAATGCTGTACACAACTTTTAACAATTGAAATTTTTCTCCAAATTCTGTCTTTAGTAAAGTTACCTGGTGATATAGGAACCTTTAAAAAAAATTAAGGCTTTTTATGCAACTGTAGGTTTATAGAGAAGAGCAGAAAGTAGAGTTCTTATATACCCTTGTGCCCTATCTCCCAGTTTCTCCTAATGGCATGCATTAGTGTGGTTCATTGATTGTAAATAATGAACCAGTTCTCACACCTTACTATTAACTAAAGTCTGTAGTTCATGCTAGGGCCCCTTCTTCATGTTACACATTCTGTAGTGTTTTGTCAGTGCATCACATCATGTATCTGTTCTGTGAAACCTGGTACTTCACCTATTCATCTCCAGCTCTTCAACTTCTAGGAATCATGGATCTTTTCAATTGTCATATAGTTTTACTTTTGCCAGAATTTCAAATAGTTGGAGTCAGTATGTCACTGTTCAGACTCACTTCTTAGTGTGTAAATTTCCTCTATGACTTTTTATGACATTTCTTTTAGTGCTGAGTAGTATTATATAGGTATACTGGGTATATTACAGTTTTGTTATCCTTAAGGCTGAGTAATAGTCTATTATGTAGGTATACTGCATATACTATAGTTTGGTTATTTGTTCACCATTTGTTTTTTTGAGACAGGGTCTCACTATGTAGTTGAGACTAACCTCCTGCCTCAGCCTCCTGAGTGCTGGGGTTACAGGTGTGCGCCACCACTCCTGGCATCTGTTCATCTTTTGAAGGGCATTGTGGTCAGTAGTTTTGGACATTATGAATAAGCATTCTTTTGCAGGTTTGTGTAGACATAAGTTTTCAGTTCATTTGGGTGAAAACAGTATGATTGACAGATCATATATGATTACATTTTGCTGTGTAAGAAGCTGCTGAAGGGTTTGAAATGTGGCTGTGCCATTTGCATTTCCATCAGCAGTGATAAGAGTTCTGTTTTTCCATCCTTGCCAGTATTTGATGATGTTAGTGTTTGGATTTTAGTCATAATATGTGTGCAGTAGTATATTGCTTTAGTTTACCATCATTAGTTGAGCATCAACACATGTTACCACCAGATGTTGAGCATCTTTTCATAAACTAACATGTCATTGTGTGTCTTCTGTGGTCAGGTGTCACTTCAGTCCTTTTATCCATTTTTGTGTTGGGTTTTTGAGTTTCAAAGATTCTTTGTATATTTTGGATATAGTTCCTTTATGAGATGTATTTTGCAAATAATTTTTCCCCCCAGTACTCTTTTTATTCTCTTAACAGTGATTTTAGCAGAGAGCAGTTTTTTATTTTAATAAAGTCAAAATCATTTTTTTCTTTCATTGTCATATTTTTGTTATTACATCCTTAAACTTATTGTCAAACTCAAGGTTGCCTGAATTTTCTCCTATCTTATCCTTTAGTAGTTTTATAGTTCTGTGCTTTACATTCGGGTCTAATCTGATCCTTTCTTTCCATTTTGAAGGATAATTTTGTTAAATAATTCTAGGTTGGTTATTTTCTCTCAACATGTTAAATATTTCACTCCATTCTTTTTGCATGGTTTATGAGGAGAATTTCAATTAAACTTTTATTGTTCCTTGATAGATAAGGTGGGAGTTTCTCTAGCTTCTTTCAAGATTTTTTTTTTTTGTATGTAGGATGAGGCTACCCCTAAGATTGAGCCCCAGATGTTTTTAATCCCCAAGCTAGTCCCTCATGAAGCCACCAGTAGTCTGTCCAGTGATGCTTGTTTTCCTTCTACATCCTGGCCCCAGTCCTCTTAGCAGTAGATCTATATTCACCTGTTCCTCCAATTTTGGGGTTATCCACTGCTCAGTGACTACAGTTCTCTCATGGATGTGAGAGTTGTTGATTTTTCAGTTTGTTCAGCTTTTTCCTTTGTGAGAATGAAGTAATGACTTCTAAACTTTTCCTATATCAGAATAGAACCTAGAAGCTCAGATGAACTTTTTTTTTTCTCTCATTGAGTTTATTGGTACACTTTAGGTATACAGTAGTTATCTTCATTATTGGGATCTTGTACCTTTACGTGACAGGTCTTGGTTCTCATTTTTCCCCCTTGTCCCTGCCCTCCCTTCACCCCCTCCTCTCCTCCCCCTTTACAAACACTTCATTTCCATTTTTTCATTTTCTCATATTTTTTCTTTTTCCTTATTTCCTTTCCCCTACCCTTCCCACTTCCCCTACACCTTTAGCCCTTTTCTTCCTATTTCACATTATCAATTATACCATTAGGATCTTATGTACAATTATAGTTTTTCACACCAGAGAAACTATTCAGTATTTACACATGTGTGACTTATTTTTCACTTAAGAGTATATCCTCACTATACATCCATTTTCCTACGAATGACTCTAATTTCTCATTCTTTATGGCTTAGTAGTATTCCATTTTATAGAAAAACCACATCAGATGAACTTTTTGATATAAATTCTCAAGCTTTTTATTAG